TAGTCGAGAGGTTCAATCGCACGCTCAAGAACGATATGTGGAAGATGTTTACACTCACCGGCGCATACAAGTGGGTCGACGCCCTGCCAGATCTCGTATCGGATTACAACGCGCGCAAGCATCGCACCATCGGCATGCGCCCCGCCGCCGTGACTCCCGTGATCGCCGAGAGACTGTTGAAAACGGTGTACAGCGCGTTAAAGATCGCAGGTCCAGCGAGATTCAAAGTAGGTGATTCGGTACGCGTGAGCAAGTACAAGACGATTTTCGAGAAAGGTTACACGCCGAATTGGACCACCGAGGTGTTCAAGATCGCAAAAGTACAGCGTACCAATCCCGTGATCTATCTGCTCGAGGACTATCGCGGAAAATCAGTCGCTGGAGGGTTCTACGAGCACGAGTTGCATCGCGCGACGTATTCGGACGTGTATCTCGTGGAGAAGGTGCTGCGCAGGAAAGGGGACGAGGTGTACGTGAAGTGGCTGGGATTCGATGGATCGCACAATTCGTGGATACACAAAGATTCTCTGGTTTAATCGTTTTTATTGTAAAAAACATATACGAAGAATATACGTGTACATGACAGAATATAAAACTGTATACGATTAAACTGTATCCTTCCCTTCCAACAGTATCATATTCTTTTATAAACGTAATAAGTAAGAATATAAGTAGGAATATAAAAAAACATAAGTAGATTATTATAAAAATTACCATACATAAAATATGAAAAGAAAACATACATATACACTGATTATTGTAACGTATATTGAACAGTATAAACAATTACCTTACATATGGAACAGTATAAAAAGTTAACATACATAAAAATGCAATATAGTGATTAATGTAAAAACGACATATTGAATAATATAAAAATTAACATACTGTGACGTGACGTTTTGCGACAACGTCCGTCACAAGGGCTCATTAGCCCGACCGTAACGGCTGAGTGGATCCTGCGTCCTCCGATTTTCGAGGGCGAGCGCCTCTACGATTTTGCCATGTTCCGCGACTAACATTTTGTGATAGGATTAAACCGTTAGGCCTTGCCCCGACCGAGATAAGCAAGGGATAGCGACTATTCGGAAGAGATTGTATTAAAGCGTCGTCTCACCGGCTCCGAGTAACGA